TGAAGACTAATACTAAAATAAGTAAAACATAACAAAATATTAGCAAATTCTTTCATTTTTAAACCTGATTTTGAAATACTATATGAATCAATATTACTATTAAGTTAATAAAATATCATCCTTCAATAATTATAAACTAACTTTGCTACAAACTTACTCATTAAATTACTAAGTTAAATAAATATTTGATCCTTAGTTTAAAGAACAAGCCTTCAAGCCTTATTATAAGCATGTCTTAGCTGTTATAATTATTTAAATAACTTAATTATTTAATTTTTCTTATAAAGCATTTGTATCCCTTTAATCTAGTGCCATCAAATAAAATTAGTAAATCTCAAAAAAAAGGGAATATTTCACTTCTCATTATATAATTGTTCGAATTTCATTAAATGCCTTTTTTGGCATTATTAATCGCTTCTTCAGGCCTAAATAAACATGCTAAAAGATCCTTCCTAAAAAGGAATAAAATTTATAATTCATCTTACCCTTGATATCATAAGCTTCAGCAAAAGTTTCATCTATTTGAATTACCTTATCAAATATTTCAATACCTTTTTCGTATCTAAATAATATTAGTAATGTTCTTGCTTAAATTTACTTAAACCTCTGTTACCTTTAGTAGTAGTATAAGCAAATTTATCCAAATTAGTACTAGAAAAATTTTTATCACCCAATTCAGTAGCTAATACCTTTCAGAATATTTAACAACTCTAAATTCTGCTCATACTTCTAAGCTTCATTTGAACATTTGTTAGCCCTATTATAATTATCTATATCTTCTATAACAATTTACATGAGTGCCATCCCTAAATTGAAATAAAAAACATTTTTACCTATTTAAATTAGAAATGCTTAATTATCAGGATTAATTTTTATTGCTTCATCAAACATTCAAAATCCTATTAATATTAATCTAACTTCATTAAGGTTATCCCTTAAATAATTTTTGGATAAATTATACCTTTGTGATCAAGAAGCTTTTCATTTTTTGAATTTAAAGTAGTTGCTTGATTAATAAATTGCAGGGCTTCAACATAATTTCTTTCATTAAATATATTTATATTCATAATTATTTTCTATAATTTTTTAACTTTAAGTATTATTTGCTCATATTTTTACCTTTTAATAAATCATTATCAATCACTTCATTTTATTCTTATTTGACTTCATCAATAATTTGGGTTCTTTTTATAATTTTATATTATTCTATCTATCTTACGAGTCTTTCTATATCATTTTTTTTATGTAAGTATGATAATGTCTAATTTCTAATTAAATTCATATTGTTCTATTACAAGTTGATTATGATGAAAATATTGTTTTTATTTAATAAATAGTGAAACTTTCTAATGAATTTTGACAAGTTTTCATAATTAAAACTACAACTATAATTGCACTTCCTAGTAATATAATTTTACTTGAAGACTTCCTTTTTGGAATAGCCTTTTGATGTAGAATAGTTAATGTAATTTCATATGGCAGTTCGATTAAGCACAAATATATAATTAAGAACTTTAGATAATGAAATGAATTGATATCCTATCTATGTGGAATTGACATATTTAAGGCACTGGAATAAGGCATCTATGATGAAAATTATTTAAAGAATAAATAAAGTCTAGATTTATAGATGGAATGCTTTTCAATTAGTATCTTAAAATCAAAGACCTGAAACTCAAATTGATACATAGGGTATTGGGAAAATTAGTGTTTACTCTAAATAATAGCTGAAGCTGGAAATGTAAAATGCTCATCAGTAAGAGTTAAGGATGTATAATTTTGGAAGTAATTGATTTTTTAGAAGATCCTTTATATTTTGATTAGAACTTCATTAAAACTTAATTGTATCTTGGATTATTACTGATCCAAGATCAATTTCTTATTTGAAGGAAAATCAAGAATAAAAATAGTATTTTCAAAAAAACTTAAAAAATTGAATTCAGGATTAATTGTTCCAATAAATGCATAAATAAATCTCTTTTGATGTTAAAATGAATTGAAAATTCTCAAGATAATGAATATTTCCATTAAATTGCTGCCATAGGCTCATAAGAGATTACGATTAATATCCTAAAATGCTAAGCAAATGGATATAATTCCTCAAAAAAAGAAAATAAATTAATAATTCAAGCAAGGAAAGATTATATGAAATCTATTCTAACAAAAACATGTTACATTAGAAGGTGATTCGTTATTTTCAATACGAAAAATATAATTATTTTTAAGATAAAATTGTACAAAATACGACGATATATGAATCAATAGTTAATATTTCAACGAATTAGAATCATCATTTATTTTGGATTTAAATGATTGGGATAATCTTCAAATCCTTTGTTAACCCAAAAAAAGTTAAGTTAATTGAATAGCTCTTTAATTTTGGAAGCAAAATCAATCAGATCAATTTAGGATTTTATTGCTGAAAAACTAATTGTTCTTAAATACTAAAATGATATTTCTAGTAATGAGTCGGAGATTTGAATTTTTATAATATATTGTCATTTTTGGTGGACTCGAATTAAAAAAATCAAAGATCTTCTTATTTAAGTTATGACAACTTTTGCCTATTGCCTGAAAATTAAATTCTCTATCTATTTTTTGAAATGTACCATGAAAATTTCTGATTTATCTTGCTTAAGCTTTTTAGGCAGTGACTTTGGAATGGAGCTTAGTTTTAAACGAGTTGCTAGAAAGTCGCTCTCTTAAAGGTAGGAATGTTTTTTTTAACATAAAAGAAATGAAGACATTAAAGAATCAAAGCAATTTATAAAAAATACAAAGCCCTTCATAGTTCTAAAGATTGGCTGGCTCAAAAAAGTTAATCAATTATTCAGGAATTTATTTCTGACATTTCTATAAATATAAATTCAAGTATTAACTCGATTGAATTGGCTTAACTGTAAAATTCTTTAAATAAGTAATGAAGTATAAAAGTAGCTTGGCAAAAATCAAAGTAGAGTTATCTATGAGCCACTCAATAAACCCTAAAAAATTTTCCCAACAATAGACTCAACCATTTATTCAATGAAATTGAATGAAAAACATAATATANTTGATTATGATGAAAATATTGTTTTTATTTAATAAATAGTGAAACTTTCTAATGAATTTTGACAAGTTTTCATAATTAAAACTACAACTATAATTGCACTTCCTAGTAATATAATTTTACTTGAAGACTTCCTTTTTGGAATAGCCTTTTGATGTAGAATAGTTAATGTAATTTCATATGGCAGTTCGATTAAGCACAAATATATAATTAAGAACTTTAGATAATGAAATGAATTGATATCCTATCTATGTGGAATTGACATATTTAAGGCACTGGAATAAGGCATCTATGATGAAAATTATTTAAAGAATAAATAAAGTCTAGATTTATAGATGGAATGCTTTTCAATTAGTATCTTAAAATCAAAGACCTGAAACTCAAATTGATACATAGGGTATTGGGAAAATTAGTGTTTACTCTAAATAATAGCTGAAGCTGGAAATGTAAAATGCTCATCAGTAAGAGTTAAGGATGTATAATTTTGGAAGTAATTGATTTTTTAGAAGATCCTTTATATTTTGATTAGAACTTCATTAAAACTTAATTGTATCTTGGATTATTACTGATCCAAGATCAATTTCTTATTTGAAGGAAAATCAAGAATAAAAATAGTATTTTCAAAAAAACTTAAAAAATTGAATTCAGGATTAATTGTTCCAATAAATGCATAAATAAATCTCTTTTGATGTTAAAATGAATTGAAAATTCTCAAGATAATGAATATTTCCATTAAATTGCTGCCATAGGCTCATAAGAGATTACGATTAATATCCTAAAATGCTAAGCAAATGGATATAATTCCTCAAAAAAAGAAAATAAATTAATAATTCAAGCAAGGAAAGATTATATGAAATCTATTCTAACAAAAACATGTTACATTAGAAGGTGATTCGTTATTTTCAATACGAAAAATATAATTATTTTTAAGATAAAATTGTACAAAATACGACGATATATGAATCAATAGTTAATATTTCAACGAATTAGAATCATCATTTATTTTGGATTTAAATGATTGGGATAATCTTCAAATCCTTTGTTAACCCAAAAAAAGTTAAGTTAATTGAATAGCTCTTTAATTTTGGAAGCAAAATCAATCAGATCAATTTAGGATTTTATTGCTGAAAAACTAATTGTTCTTAAATACTAAAATGATATTTCTAGTAATGAGTCGGAGATTTGAATTTTTATAATATATTGTCATTTTTGGTGGACTCGAATTAAAAAAATCAAAGATCTTCTTATTTAAGTTATGACAACTTTTGCCTATTGCCTGAAAATTAAATTCTCTATCTATTTTTTGAAATGTACCATGAAAATTTCTGATTTATCTTGCTTAAGCTTTTTAGGCAGTGACTTTGGAATGGAGCTTAGTTTTAAACGAGTTGCTAGAAAGTCGCTCTCTTAAAGGTAGGAATGTTTTTTTTAACATAAAAGAAATGAAGACATTAAAGAATCAAAGCAATTTATAAAAAATACAAAGCCCTTCATAGTTCTAAAGATTGGCTGGCTCAAAAAAGTTAATCAATTATTCAGGAATTTATTTCTGACATTTCTATAAATATAAATTCAAGTATTAACTCGATTGAATTGGCTTAACTGTAAAATTCTTTAAATAAGTAATGAAGTATAAAAGTAGCTTGGCAAAAATCAAAGTAGAGTTATCTATGAGCCACTCAATAAACCCTAAAAAATTTTCCCAACAATAGACTCAACCATTTATTCAATGAAATTGAATGAAAAACATAATATATTTATAACAAATACTGGTTTTTTGGATAATACTTAAAGAAAATCAATTAGAGAAAAAATTTAATCATGTTAAAATAATTAAAAATTGTTAATTTGTGAGATCCAATAATTGTCAAATGCTTAAAATTAAGTAATTTAAAATATCCATTTCTATCCTTAGGGCAAGCGAAACTTCTCTATTAATACTATTTATACACTTTTAAAAGAATAGAAATGCAATTAGAGAATGAAGAAGACATTCGATAGGATAGGATGGAGGAATCCTTTGTTTAAAATTATAAGTCTTTTATAGATATTGTTTCAGAGTTTGAAAGGGAAGCAAATATATTATCAGGCTTTTCAAATATGAAAATTGCTTAATCAAGGTAATTTTAAGTATTGATAAATTCATGAGCAATAATTTAGAGAAAAGATAAATTTAAAAATTAATAAAATTTAGTCAAATATTGGAGTAATTAACAAAAAGTATAAAGATAAATTCTTTGTAATTTTTCTTTAAAAATTATTTTTTTAAATTTAATAACAGAAGTATTTATTTTTGATGAATATGATTTCTGCAATTATAAAGGCAAGTAGAAATGGAACCAAAATAGAGTACTACATAAAATTAAAGATTTTGCTTGTAAAAATTTTTCAGAAAATAGAGTTATATAATAATGATAATTAGGGTGTGAATGATTACTGTAACAATATTAGTCCTAAGATGATAGCCTAGTACCTTTGCAGTGTTTGGAGTAGAGTTTAAACCTCCAAATCTTTCCTTAATTCTCTGTAATTTACTCAAAAGGAGGAAGAATCTTTTGAACAAGAAATTTTTTTTCCTTATAAATATTAGAACTAAATTTCTCAACACTCAAATTATGGTTCGTTGATTGTTAATTACATTTTAAAATATGCATTAGCCTTCAGCTTTTCTAGTTCTTAGATATAATAAATAGAGATGATTTTTTTTGATGTCTTAAGTAATAAAAATTTAGCAAATATGCTCATAGTTTTAAAGCTGCAATAATAATGATTAGAAATAACTGAAGATGACTTTTAAAATAAATAATAAAGGCAGAAATGGATAAAAAAATATGTTGAATTTCAGCCCAATATTGAAGAATATTTTTAGTGAATCAGAAAAAAAATGTTAAAGCTGGTATAGTAAAAATTTTAGGAATTATTTAATTTCTTCGTTCAATTTAAGCATTTGGAAATTGCGAATTTGCTAATTTTTAAAAATTTCTTTCCTGATGGAAATACATTAGCTTCTTGTAGTAGAGATAAGACTATACGTTTATGGGATGTCAAAACAGGATAATAAAAAGCCAAATTAGTTGGTCATACTAAAAATGTCAAATAAATCTGTTTCTCTCCTGATGGAAATACATTAGCTTCTGGTAGTGATGATAACTCTATCCGCCTATGGGAAATCAAAAACAAGNAGATGGTCATACTAATACTGTCTACTCAGTCTGTTTCTCTCCTGATAGAAATACATTAGCTTCTTGTAGTAGAGATAAGTCTATACGTTTATGGGATGTCAAAACAGGATAATAAAAAGCCAAATTAGTTGGTCATAGTTGTAGAGTCAGGTCAGTCTGTTTCTCACATGATGGAAATACATTAGTCTCTGGTAGTGATGATAAGTCTATCCTTCTATGGGATGTCAAAACAGGATAATAAAAAGCCAAATAAGATGGTCATACTAGTACTGTCTGCTCTGTCTGTTTCTCTCCTGATGGAAATACATTAGCTTCTGGTAGTTGTGATAACTCTATCCGTCTATGGGATGTCAAAACAGGGTAATAAAAAGCCAAATTAGATGGTCATAAAAGTTATGTCTAGTCAGTCTGTTTCTCTCCTGATGGAAATACATTAGCTTCTGGTAGTGATGATTGCTCTATCCATCTGTGGGATGTCAAAACAGAATAATTAAAAGCCTCATTGGATGGTCACGATGAAACTGTTTTATCAGTCTGTTTCTCTCCTGATGGAAATACATTAGCTTCTGGTGGTTGTGATAACTCTATCCGTCTATGGGATGTCAAAACAGGATAATAAAAAGCCCAATTAGATGCTCATACTCGTATTGTATCGTCAGTCTGTTTCTCTCCTGATGGAAATACATTAGCTTCTGGTAGTGATGATAAGTATATCCGTCTATGGGATGTCAATACAAGATAATATAAAGCCAAATTAGTTGGTCATAGTGGTAGAGTCTGGTCAGTCTGTTTCTCTCCTGATGGAAATACATTAGCTTCTGGTAGTGATGATAAGTCTATCCGTCTATGGGATGTCAAAACAGGATAATAAAAAGCCAAATTAGATGGTCATAGTAGTTATGTCAGATCAGTCTGTTTCTCTCCTGATGGAAATACATTAGCTTCTGGTAGTGATGATAAGTCTATCCGTCTATGGGATGTCAAAACAGGATAATAAAAAGCCAAATTAGATGGTCATAGTAATTATGTTAACTCAGTCTGTTTCTCTCCTGATGGAAATACATTAGCTTCTGGTAGTGATGATAAGTCTATCCGTCTATGGGATGTCAAAACAGGATAATAAAAAGCCAAATTAGATGGTCATAGTAATTATGTTAGATCAGTCTGTTTCTCTCCTGATGGAAATACATTAGCTTCTGGTAGTGATGATAAGTCTATCCGTCTATGGGATGTCAAAACAGGATAATAAAAAGCCAAATTAGATGGTCATAGTAATTATGTTATGTCAGTCTGTTTTTCTCCTGATGGAAATACATTAGCTTCTGGTAGTGATGATAAGTCTATCCGTCTATGGGATGTCAAAACAGGATAATAAAAAGCCAAATTAGATGGTCATAGTAGTTATGTTAGATCAGTCTGTTTCTCTCCTGATGGAAATACATTAGCTTCTGGTAGTGATGATAAGTCTATCCGTCTATGGGATGTCAAAACAGGATAATAAAAAGCCAAATTAGATGGTCATAGTAGTTATGTTAGATCAGTCTGTTTCTCTCCTGATGGAAATACATTAGCTTCTGGTAGTGATGATAAGTCTATCCGTCTATGGGATGTCAAAACAGGATAATATAAAGCCAAATTAGATGGTCATAGTGATACTGTTAGATCAGTCTGTTTCTCTCCTGATGGAAATGCATTGGCTTCTGGTAATGAAGATAAGTCTATCCGTCTATGGGATGTCAAAACAGGATCAGAAATTACATCCACCAATAAAAACTATGAAGATCTTTTAACATATTTTAAGATTCTACTCTAATAAAATTGTTCAGGTAATATTAATTTTTTTGATATTTTTAGCCTCCAATTACATCACTACACTCTTTATTTCCCAAAAACCAATATTTCAAGCTAAAGGAGCTTTAATTCTGAAAGGAAAGTTTTTAAATCAATCCGGTAGAGATTTAAAGACATTATTTAAATAAAAAGGAAGTTGCTTTTTGGAAAATATAAAAATTTTCAACTAAAAGAAAAAAATATTGTATAATGAAAATTATTGAACATTAATTGTTTTCCGGATTTTTTATAGTAATTCTAGGTTTATTCAATCTGTTATTTTTTTAGTTTTGTGTAAACTTCATACTCATCTTGTCTTTTAATTTTTTTTATATAACAATTTTCATACTGTTTTGACTACTTAATTTTAGTTTTTCATCTAGTATATTAAATAGTGAAACATATGCAATTTTATAAAATCATATAACATTTTATGAGAAATTAACTTAATTTATTTTTATTTATAAAGGTGATTGGTATTAATAGTGTTATAATAGTAAAGGATAGATTTAATAACCAAAATTCTAAAACAAAAAAATATGTCAAGATTTTAAGCATTAAAGTTAATACTACTATAATAAAGTTAAAAAAATTAGATTGGATGATTTCTTATTGAAAGTAACATACCAATCACCTTTGATTCTTATTCTTCAATTAATATTAAAATTTTTAGATAGTATAAAAGACTGAAAAGATACATTAATTATCAAGAAGTCTTATATCCAGTAAAAGGATTAAGATGTACGGAGATACTTATTATATCTTCTCTAACCGCCATCTAAGAATCTTAATAACTGATTAAATTAAGCTCAACTTAAATTTTTACATACTTCAAATAATAAACATTTATAAATTCCTGAGATAATGTACAATCATTATTACCTTCAAGATTATTTTAACGAAATTAATTAATATCTAGACAAAAATATCCCTCATCACTTCAGCTTTAATAATTAAGGATTATAACTATTTGTAAATTCTTTATAAATAGAAATTCAATTTTTTTAAAATGATTTAGTGTTAGATGAAAAATGCCATTCTATTAATGAATTATTGATTAATATCTTCTCATCACATAAAGTTATCATTAGCAAATCGTACTTTTACAGGGGATATAAACAAAGAATTAAATTCATTTTATAATATTTCACCAATTTCTATGAAAAAAATATTTCTGTATAGCAAAGGATAGTAAAATTTGTAATATATAACATAATAAAAGTATATTAATAACTATATATAAGGTATGATTAAACACTAAATATTCATTATTTTTGTTAATTTATTACTTTGAAAAAAGAACGATCTATTGGAGGCATCTTTATATCCTTTTATTTTTTATATTTTACTCGCAAGTCCACATTTAAAAATTATTCTAGCTATAACATAAATGCTCAATTGTAATGATAATTTATATTAATAAAAACAAAATCTTGATCATTTATGATTTGTTTCAAGGTCGAAATAATAATTTAGTATTGATGTCTGTTGTTGTTATAAAAATCACAAGAAATGAATTACTTCCCTTATTATTTGAAACATTTAAGCATTTTGAGAAGAAGGAGATTACAGAGTTAAAATACTTTGTTTATCCAATTATATAATTTAGCATTTAAAATAAGAATGAAGAAAAAGGATTGTAATTTAAGAGAAATAATGAAAAACAATTTATTAGGTAGAAAAAATGAGCTTTCATCGAAATTATAACTTGCTATCATTTATTTTGCTGTAAAATTATTTGTGATATTATTGAATCTTCCATTTTCATTTAGAAGTTGAGCAGATATGTTTTTTAATCTTCCTAGCAAGATTACTTAGATGCTTAGATTAATATAAACTCTGTTTGATAAAGATTTAATTTAGCCAAACAGCATCAAATCAAATAGATCTTAATTCAATCTTAAGAAAGTATCATTTAGAATTTTATAATTCAAGCATCATGGTTAATCAAGGCTTTTCTTTTTTCGAATAAATATCACCAGATCATTTCATATTATGCTTAAGAATAACATTTAACATAATTAATTTTCATATTATCTAAAGAAAAAGTAAATTCACTAATTGTTTGAATTTATTATTAAAATTGCATTCTTCATGAAAAATTTTGACTATTATATGAATTAGATTTAATTTTAAATATCTCTCTAATAAGTATGATAAGATTATAAAGAGATATTCATATATTCAATTGAAATTATGTTACAGGATTTTTAAGTAATGCGTTTATTCAAATTTTTTTACCTTATTATATGTTTTTTTAAGTATCATATGTAATTAGAAGTTAATTTAAGGATGCAATTTATTATTTAAAAATTATGAAATTTCGATATCCATAACAATGAATTTATGGTTTTTCTGGCATTTTTTGTTTGACTTTTTCAATCACTTGAAATTCATCAAATACTTCAATTTAGTATTTACTTTCTATCATGTTTGCTATTTGTTTAAAAGGAATATCATCTACTAAAAGTATGTGTACACATTTTTAAGAGAGTAAATCTTCATTTTTTTAGTAATCAGATTGTTAATATTTATTCTTTTTTTTAAATATTTAGAACTTATAGGTAGTAATATTTCAGATTATTTTTCTAAATCATTTAATCTTATTGAAATATATGATCCTGATTTTACTAATTGTGAATCTCTATCATTTTCTAAATTTATAGTTCTATTACTCAACATGACAATTAGCAAAGATTAAAATTATTGTAATCTTCTTTAAGAATTTCTAATCTTGTTATTTTATTTTAATATTTTCTAAATAAATATTAAAGATAAACGAGAAGGTCTACTAATGATTAACGATGTTGAAGAATCTTAGTAATATATATAGGACTAAGATCATTAAAAGTGTGATGAATATATTATTACAAAAAAAATATTTTCTTAAAGTGAATTTTTCTTCATTTAATTATGATATTGTCATTTTTTTAATGCTTCATTATTTTCTTAAATTCTTTAGTATATTTGATTTTTATAGCAAATAGGATATATTATAGAGGCTATTGGGATCTATTACTTTAGTGAATTATATTTAATACAACAAACCGCTAAATAAATATTATTTAACTGAGATAAATTCAAATATCCAATAAAATTCTTATTAAGTTGACTTACTAATTAATTTGATATTTAGTAACTTATAAACTTTAGAATTAAAAAAATTATTCATAAAACATTGAAACCTTCTTTGAGATAAATCAAACTATCTCTTCAACTTGACTCTTTGCAATGTATTATTCTAAATTAGAAGATTTGAAATGTAATATTAATCATCGTTTATTAGTATTCAATGTGTTAAAAGCCAAACTCCTATCAGAAAGACAAGGATAATTATTCGAAGGTTGAGGATAGTTTAATATTTTTTGTAGACCATTTTTTAATCTAAGGGAGAAATGTAAAAAAAATAAATAAAAAATTAGTATAAATATGGAAGTCAAAAAAGAAGGATTTAAAATTATTAATTATATCTCTTTTCTATTGAATGAACTAATTGATTTCCCCTGATAATTAAATGTAAATTCCATTAAGTTAGATCAAATTAATAAGAGATAGACTATAGATAGATTTATCTGATAATCTGAAAAATCTAAAATGACAAAATTGGAAAATATGAATAATACTATATTGATAGTTGTATTTTTTTTTAATTATTCAATCTATTTTTGTAATATATAACATTATAATAATGAAAATTCAAATTAATTTTCGAAATCAAAAATTTACAAAAGCAAAATTGTCTTTCAAAAATAATTATTAAACAAGTTATATGTTTAAATTTACCATTCGTAGGAAGGAGTTAATTAAAAAAAATTAAATATATAATGATTAGCTGACAGAAACATTGAATTAAATTCAATTCTCTTTAGTTTGAGTATTTTGTATTTTGCTGTTATAATGATAAAATAAGGTTACTAAAAATTATTTAGAAATATTTTTTTTAAAGAAAGATAAGTAGATATCAATTAGACAAATAAAAATAATAGTTTTGGGTATTTGGGACTATGAATGTAATCAAAGTTAAAATTTAATAAATAAAGATTTTTCAAGTTTGTATTATTGTAGATAACTAAAGGATAAAGTAATAAAAAGGTAGATTAAGTTCTCTCAATAAAGATGATCTTAGAAAAGAAACAAAAATGTATACCTAACATAATTAAGAGAGAAAAACTTTTTGATAAGATTTTATAATTTAAGTAAGGATGATTATTAAATTACTCAATTAAATATTTATAATTTAATTGAGATTTTTACAAATGATTATTTATTTGAATTATTCTATTTTGAATATAATTTAATCATTATCTTATTTAGAATATTTGATATCATTCCTATTTATCTTACATCAATCTCATAATCATCTTAATTTAAGTATCTGATTTTGAAACGTAGAAGCTAATCTTAATGTTGTTGTTGGTATGAGATTCAACTTCTTAAAAATGATTAAGATAATTTGAAACAACATGTAATTAAGAATTTAGTGAAATTAATAAATGAAATATTCAAAAATCCTTTTGATTTTCCCCACATTTCTTAATGAAAGCGAAAATATTTCTTAAATTTTTTATCTAGATAAATGCTCAAATTAATTAATGCTTTTTGTTCTCTTTATAATATATTAGTTTTGAATACAAGAGATTTTTATTTCTTAAGCCAATTTGCTAACAATAACAAATATGTAAACCATTTCGGAGAGTAATTTTTTAATCTCATCTTTAAAATGAATTGTGATAAAATCAGTTATTTCTTTATCCACTTTCTGTAATTTTTTTTCCCTTATAAAAAGTAATTATGGTATTCTATTTTCTAAGCACGTACTAAATTTCTTTTAAAAAAATATATATATTTATATGATAGTTTATAATATATATATTTTGATAAATCTAATTAAAGAAATTACATACTGTGTGTTTTTTATTCTTATTTTTAAGTTAGAAAGAAGGATTATAAAGAAACATTTTATTTGAATCGCTCTTATTTGATTCCTAGATCCAAATATACCTGTAATTAGAGGCAGCTCTCTATATAAATGAAATAATATTATCTTTTCATAATTCATCTTGACATAAAAGATCAATGATTGTTAAGTTTGAAATATAAAATCTTCATTATAAATAAAAATATAGTGATTAATCTTGAAAGTAGAATTCATTTGGTATAATCTATTAAACATTTCTTTTCAGAATTAAGACTATCTAATTGTTTTAGTCATTGAAAAGTCATAAGTTTTCTGATAAAAGTTTGCTTGAAGATATTAAAAAAAATATATCTTATTTTCATAGTTAAGATTATCTCATATAATAAATAATCTTATATTATAATAATGAAATTTTCAATATTTGTTTAATTTTTCCCTATATATATTTATAAAATCATTTTCAGGCCATAATTCCAAATAGTCCTAATGTAATTATGGATAGAATCATGCCATAATCATCAGTATTAGGATCAGTAGTGGTATTATCGGTATTATTATTTGTGTTATTTGGTTATGTAGAGCCAGCTAAGCATTTTTCGCACTTATTAGTTGTTTAATTCCATGTATAAGTATAGGCAGATTTAGTGTAGCATATCTTTGGATCAGTTATGGTTCCAGGATCACCAGGTGCACACTTATTATTTTGTAAAGTACAAATAGTAAAGCCTTTACCATCAAAGCTAGGAACTGGTTGGCAATCAGTACTTGTTGCAAATGTATCACAAGTATGGGGAACACAAGATGTGGTAGTTCCAGATTAAGTCTTTTTGCAACTCTTGTTTGTTTCACAGGCTGTAGGATCAGCATTAGCATCAGAGCATTATGTAAAGGTCTTGCAAGTTCCGTTAACTTTATCAGTAGCTGAATTAGGTGTGAATGCGCAAACAACTTTGTTTGTACCATCTAATCCTCCTCCATTACATGCTTCTAAAGTTTTGTATGTTGAACAAGCTGCTTTTGGAATACAGTTCTTTGTATTAGAAACACATTCTTTACCGGGAATAACATTGCTACAAGCAGAATTATTAATTCCTTTATCTATATCTTCACATTACTTTAATCTACATGATTTTGCTCCTGTAGTTTAACCAACAGGATAAGAGTAGATACATGTACCATCTGTTCCTTAGTAGCATCCAGCCTCTGTATAACTTGAGCAAAGTCCAAGAGGAACACATTTAGATCCATCAGTTGTGCAAGTACCAGAACTGATAACTTGAGATCGACAACCTTCGTATGTAGTTCCTATAAGATCTGAACATTCCTTCAATTTGCATGATGAACCATTCCAGAAACAAATTCCATCGCTTCCAAGATTATTTTTGCATGAAATTTCTGTTTTGTAGTCACCGCATTTACCCTTAGCAACACAAGCTATTCCATCAGTAATACAACCACCATATGCTAAGCATGCATTTTAATCATTTGAGACTGCATCTGAACATTTATCGAATAATTAGCATTTATCAGTTGGTAAATATCCACAAACACCATCTGTACCCTTAACACATGATGCCTTTAAGACAGTTTTAGCACAAGATGTAATTGGTATACAAGTTTCCCCATTAGTAGTACAAAGAGGAGAAAAGGCTTAACAACCCTCATGAGTTTTTACTAAAGCATCCTCACATCTATCATAATCATAGCAAGTTGAATTACTTTGAACCCAAAGACAAGGTCCACTCTTTGATGAGAGACAATATTATTATGTCTTGAAGTCAGAACAAGATAATGCTTAAACACATTCTGTTCCATTTGTTTTACAACCACTCAAATGTGCATCACATTCAGCATCAGTCTTTCCACTCAAATCTTGACAAATTCTTTCTCTACATTTATTATTTTCCCATCCACATCTTCCCAATTCTCCAGTCTTAGTATCTCTGACATATGAAGCATTTTTACAAATTGATTCAGTCTTATATCCAGAACAAACTGTCATTGTAATACAACCAGAACCTGTGGTAGTACAACCCTTATCAAAATCATTGCATTATTTATGAGTGTTGATAGTTGCAGATAGATCTTCACATTTTTGATCTCTACATACATTACCTGTTTCTGTCCAAGCACAATACTTTTTGTATGAAACCTTTTCGATTTCATATGTTATTACTGTATTAACACAATTAGATTGACTTGTTCCACTTTATGCAGAACATGAATTCTTTTTAGGTTCACATAGGTTAGCCCAAGTGCATTAAGGTCTTGATTTGCAAGAATCTTAATTAGTCAAAGTATTGCATTTGATAGTTGAAGTACATCCATAACCAGTAGTTTAACAATCTGGATGATAATCTGAGCATTCCTTATCAGTTTTCAAAGTATTTGGAGCTTCTGTACAAACCCTTTTGGCACAACTTCCAACAATTGTTCCAACAGTGGTTGCTTTGCATGGCCCGTTACTTGCAATATATTTTGAACAAGAATTTAAATCATCTTTGTTATCTGTTCCTTTGAATTCTTCACACTTCTTACCATAAGTATCACATCCAGTGCCATTATAAACACAGAAAGGTTTATCAGTGACTTTAAATGGTTTCATTCCATCACTGCATGTTTTATTATCAGTACCTGTAATATCTGAGCATTTCTTCTTTTAACAAGAGGATGTTTCTGTAGCATTACTGACATTGTAGCAATAATCTACTCCATTAGATCCCATGAATTTACTACAAACATCTCTTGTTCCTTTGTATGCTGA